GTGTGTGTGTGTGTGTGTGTGCGTGTGTGTGTGTGGTGGTCAATATGTTTGTATTGGAAACATCCACTCTTCAAGATCTGTTATGTAAATGGATTGTTCATTAAATTAGAGCCTTTAAATAATAATTTTACAGATGCTCTGCAGCAAAAATGGGGATTTGCGGTAGACACACCTGCATGTTGTTCTTGCTCACTAGCAATACTCGTTCACCATAGTCACATTTACATCAGGATATGTGGAAAGCACTGTACCGGCTCACGACACAATGTGAAACCCATTATCACCAACGACACAGTTCTTCTGCACCCACCACTGCAAGATATGTAACGGTAGTGTTTTCTTTTAACTGCAGCTCATTTTAGATGCACAGGGTGGAAATAGAAAACTGTTCTGTGCTCTGACAAATAAAACTGTTTAATCTTTTTGGAAATGTTTGTAAAAAACTGTTTAAATAATTCAGTATGCTATGATGAGTGGTATTCTTCTAAAGGCTTAAAACTTAGAGCAGAAATCATGATTTGTTTGGCTAATGCATCAATTTAGTCTCCCACACAAAGTTTTTTTTTATTATTATTATTATTTTTGAACCATGTTCCACTGAACTGTGGAGTTGGAATATTAACATTTTCTTTTATTTGCTGACCTTCAGGGTGAGGGTTGGAAATCTGGTATTGATGTTGTAAAACAGTTTTTTTAAATGATCTGACTTGATGATAACACAATAACATCACAAACAATGTAGTCCACATTCTAAATGTACCATATTGCTGTAGCAGACAGCCAGGGTTTTATTGGAATGCATCTTCTCAAAGTGTCATTTATCTCCTGCCATCAGAAGGCAAAATGCTGAGAAACAATGTGTTTACCTGTGTCTGTGTGTGTGTGTGCAGGTATTATGTGTCTGCAAAATACGTCATGAACCACTAGAAGAAATTTAATGAAACTTCTGGTAAGTGAATAAAAATCTAAAACTAATTAACTTGAAATCAGTCTACAGTAATTTAAGATGGCTGCCACAATGTAGAAAACATAAAAATGTCTTCAACTCAGTCAATTTCTRGGATATTAAAGTGGACACATCAGGTTTTTAAATCCTTTTTCACATTTAAATTGTTCAGTTTGGGGTCWATATAAATTTGAACTGCAATGTTTTGGGCTGAAATCCTCCCTATTGTAGCTCCACAAGCCCCTCTTTCATCCCTTTTCTGAGGTGTGTCTCAGATCAACTCGTTTTGAGGCTGTCTCTTTAAAGCCAATGATGCGCTGCACACCCCACCTCCCTCCATCTTCAAAAGTGGTCCATTCTAGAGGGGTTTACGGCTATCTTGTGACACAGAAAAATTTAATTTTCAAATTAACAAAATGATGTCAGTAACAGAAGACTTGTCCATCCAGCCTCTCATGTTGGAGCCAGAGTCTGACCCAGAACAAGAGGAGAATTAAGATGAGGAAATTGTAGTTGGTAAGTTCAGATATTATTTGGCAGTTATGTTGCAGATTACCCAAACAGAATATAAAAATATATTTGCAGCACCAGGAATGACAAAATTTGACTTTTCTGCACTCCTAGAGCCTCCAAGTACACAAGAAAATGTTTTTTAACAGCTAAAAAAGTGGATTTTGCATGATATGTCCCCTTTAAGCTAAAATTTGTTGTTGTAATAGCTGGGAGTCATCCCAAACAATTGAATCCACACTTCACAAATCATGCTTAAAATATGTCATTAACTGTTGATCTATCTTAACAAACACAAAATGACTATAATTCAGTCAACTGTATCAATATAAAGCTAACATTTGATATCATATTAGCTAAAATCCATCCCCAACACTTACTCTAAGCATTACCAGACTGCAGAAGATCTAAGACTTTGGTGCTTCATTCATTTTTTCTTTTGTTTTGTTTACAATTTATACTTGGAGTGCCAACACCTTGCATGAGATCTTTTGATCATGAATAACATAATTTCCAATATTTGACCAAAAGTCAGAGTGTGTTTACAACCGTCCCTTGCCAACACAAAATGCTTTCATAGTTTCTTAGTTCATATTGTCCACTACATTTAATGCCAGACTTTGAACGTAGAAACTATGAAAACATTTTGTGTTTACAACCGTCTCTTGTCAACACAAAATGTTTTCATAGTTTCTTAGTTCAAATTCTGGCATTAAATGTAGTGGACAATATGAGTTTCTTTAAGAATCTTTTGCCCTTTTATTTATAAAAGCAATTTTGTCTTCTTATTGTCTTTTTTTCTATTGTTAAGAACTGAATTTTCTGCAAAGAGCCAAGTTGCAGAGCTTATACCATGGATGTCAAGGCTGCAGTCAGAGAACTGGAGTTATCCACTCAGGGAATTGATTTTGTAAGAAGCCACAATGATGAAGAGCTAAGATTCACCAACAACACCTTCCTCTGCAGTTACCATTTTTCACTTTGTAGTTTTACAAACTTTGACTCCTAAGATTAATGGAATAGCATTAAACGRTCAGCACTGCTAAGCAGATTTCCTTTTTTCACCCCTTTGATGAGTACACGTCGTCTTTTAAGGCTCACTTTTATGGTTTGGTTAAAATAAACCATGTTTGATCTGA